TATGGTTACCAGAAAAAAATGAAACGGAGGTTAAAAAGACAAACTGTAACCTGGTTGCCGAGTTCACGAAGTGAATTGGCTTGTTTTACAACGTCCTTGCCAAGCGACGAAAACCCACTCCCGATGGCAAAGACCGGGGGGGGCGGCTTTGTTTTACAACGTCGTTGCCAAGCGACGAAAACCCAACCCCGATACCCCGATGGCAAACACCGGGGGGGGGTAATCTTTCTAGCGAGCAGGGCTAGACTCACCTTCAAGGGACCGATACCTTCTTGCTGCGGCGCACCCGCCGCGAGGCGTGCGTAGTGGTGGAGTTGGGTCGGCACTGGTGCGTCAGGTACAAAGGTCCAGATGCCCGGGCCTCCAGGCCGTCGGTGTAGGCAGCAATGCCCATCTCATCTTTGTGCGCGGAGGCAGACGTCAGCAGAAAGGTGGACAGGCAATATGTACACGGCAATTAGTTTGCTAGAGGGAGCTGTACTGTCTCAGTAACCTGGTTTTGCCATCAAAGGAGGAGGGGACGGGTGGTGACGAGCTGATTAGGCTGGTTGACCCTTCCGCGCGAGAATTTTCAGACCATAAACCCCAAGTGCAACGAGGGAGAAAGCGAGGAACCGACTGGGAAGGACAGCAACGAGAGCATGTATGCATACGACGATGGATCTCACAGGTTTTGGTGCCGTTCCGGCACGCAGGACGGTTGCGCCGCATTGTTCGCCCGGGCAGCTCGCGGGTCGCGCGTGCACAGCCTACTGCTGGAGGCCTTTCCAGGATCGACTCAGGGCTGCTCTCTCGGCTTCGCCGTGCCACTGGTGCCCTGCATAACCGAGCAACTACGTCTGACAAAGGTACGCTGCGCTTCGGATGCCTGGTGACTGCTTTTCGAATGTATGCTGGGAATTCGTTTGTGAAGAAAGAGCAAGATGAGCGGTACTGTCTTCGCGCCCTTGACGGGACAGGCTGAACTGTGTACCGTAGTACTTGTATCCTGTTTCTGTACCTCGGACTAAAATAGACTATCCTCCACACGGTCTGCGCTTGCAACACTCTTCACAGGCTGTGCTTGCAAGAAAATCAAGCCTAAAGGAGTAGTGTACTCATCGTCCGAGACAGGGGCCTCTACACTGGGGACGTGTTGCCATCAGGACTCTGTCCGAAAGTCACGTGCACCTGAGGAGGGTTCTTAACGAGATTTGTTCTGTTGGAATATGCCGACATGCGCCCTACTTTTTCGGAAAATGCCGATTTCTTGTCGGAAAATGCTGAAAATGAAGCGTCGGAATTTTTCGGGCGCCGCTTCATTTTCGGCATTTTCCGAAGAGAAACTCCGAAATGACTCCGAAATGGGAGCACTCGAGTTGCACTGCAGTCGCCAGCACGCTGAGCACCCTCTCGCACTCCAGATCTCGGGGACAGTCCCCAGGTGGCTTGCTTGTGTCGCCTGTAAGCTTGTAGACCATGGATGGTCACGGAAAGCGCTGTGGATCTGCAGATTTCGTGGAGCAAAGGCGGCGAAAGCGTCGCAGCCTGGAGATGAACCCGCTTTCCGTGATGCGGGCGATGGCTGCTGCGGTGGTTGTCGTGGTAGCAAACCCGGCGACCCCGGCAGCTTGCGACAGCATCGTAAGGGGGCATCGCGAACCCTCCGCTTCTACGGCAGCGGCGGGGGCGGCCACGCGCAGCCGGCGAGAGGCGTGGCTCGGGAGAGGGTCGCGGCCGCGGCCGTTGTCATCATCAACGGCGGCAGCAGACTGCTGCAACCCATGACCCAACCCATGACCACAGGCAGCACCACTTTCGCCTGTGTTGTCGTATCTCGCGGGTCGGCGATGGCCCCTCGGCGGCCTGCCGCCGGTAGGTCCGCTGTTCTCGTCGCTCTGCATGTTTGTACGCTGGCGCTGCCGCCTGCCTGAAGGCTGTGGTGTGTAAATGCTGTACGTTTTCAAACCGAAAAGTCTGAGAAATTCAAAAAATGGACCGCCTGACGTTATGAAACGTCAGGCGGTCCGTTCGGATTTCTCCGAAAGCCAGTCGGCATATTCCAACAAACCGAAGAATCGTTAAGAACCCTCCTGATGCGTATCGTCTATAACAACGTACGGCGCAAGCTTCGTTTTCTGCCTGCTGTCATCTGCCCACAACGAAAGGTTCGGCAAGCAGCGTTTGACAAGTCTTCTGCATGTGGTTGCCTTTGCATGCATTGGAAAAACGCCCCGCCTTACCGCAATACATCGATCGACATCCGCTCAACAATCGGAGAATGACGCTGACTTGCTGAAACTCGGGCCCGTTACGGAGGGATGCAAATATATCAGCAACAGCAGTCTAGTCTACTCCTTAACATCTGTACGTGCAATGTGGTGGCGGGGACAGACTGTATCACGTCAACCATGGCATACACAATCACCGACGTGCAGCAGCAGCAGCAGTGTAGACTAATAGTCTGCTGTAGATGCCGATTGCTACTGAGTAGATAGATTTGGAATAGTCTACTCATGGCAGCTCGCCGATGTAATTTCACATCCTAATGGCATGAACCCCGGGATCGATGTTCGCCCCAACCTCAATCCGTTGTACATGCATCGCTCGGCGAGCAGACCGATCGATCAGCTCCTTGAACGCTGACAAGATGGATACCATTGCATACAGATGCAAGCGAAACTCGCGCACTATCGACAGAATATCAACATCGTGAGAGTTGGATGTGGAAGCACTCCGTCATCTTACTGATTTTCAACGCACCATCAAGTGAGCGGATACCTGATTAAACATTGTGCTGATACAACCCGGGAGAATGAACGACGGATGAGGGAATGGGCGCTTTGGAAGACGCTCCATTCGAGCTCAATTCGGTCATCTCCCTCCCCGCCGCTCCCTCTTGAATGATGTGGCACCATACATGTCACAACGTACTGCAGCGAGGCGTGGAGTGATGGGGGATGACGGCTCGTCAGGAAACGCGCGCTACCGATGAGTTCTTCACCCAGCTGCCCTACCTGCTAGACAATGGCCAACCCACCCGTGCTACGCGTCACGAAGCCTCGGGCATGCGTTTGCACTGTTCCGAAGCATCAGCCGGAGGATCCTGCAGCCGACCGAGAACACTCTATCATTTGCGACTCTCTAGTTGTTGTTTTTCGGAATCTCCCACCTGCCATTTTTGCATCTAGCATATGTCGGGCTGCGCGTGCGGTTAACCTATCGTCTCCTGTTTATGCCAGGTCGGTACAAGAATGTACGGCGGAGGCAGGGCAAGGAGTAACGTCCAACGCTGTGAGGAAACGACTAGAGTCGGCAAAAAGCGAGTGCAAGACGACCCACGTGAAAGCCATCTCATCAAAGGGTACAAGACCAGGTGTGTGCACATGACGTTCTTCGGCGGAAATCCTGCAGGGATACGTGGGTATTTCGGCTGGGTGTGTGTTTTCTCAATTGAATCGATCGTGCTAACCGGCAGACCAATAATCGGGCGTCAATGCGTGTTTTGCGGCGGTACTGGGGTCAATTCTTATGCCCGTGTTGTAGTCTATGCATACATTACTCCCTCCAAACAATGGACCAGCGGCTCAACAGCGGCAATGGTGCATCTGAGAGCTCCGTCTATCATCATTCCTGGGGTTGAGACACTGTCTAGACTGCTTGCCGGCGCGTTTCGGGCGTCGATAATGTTCGTTCAACGGTCGGCTACGAACTACGAAGCGATTTGTGACAATTGGTTGAAGCAAGAAATACCTGACTTCACCTCTCCTGCTGTTGCTTCTTGGTGTGCACTTTCGAAACAGATGCTATGCTCGAGGCCACCAACGTCTTCGTGGAGAAAATCTCTTCCACCTACACGGACGAGGAAGTCGACCAAGTGAAAACGTTCAGGCAAGAAGAAGGTGTACGTTAGATGCATACGCATTGACGATTGGGATATGGCAATTGGTCCATGCACAACAATTTCTCCAGTTTTTCCCCAGCACCAAGATGCACCTTTCCCGTCGTAGGGGTTGGTTGTTCTGAAACCCGACAAAACGGCGGGGAGGTTTTATACTTTTCCACGTTGTTTTCTGTTACCAACCTGTCTACTCTATCCCAAATTGCGTCACTGCTGTATTGAACTGTTAATCCACAGAATAGATACCCCTCTTTGAGGGGAGGTTCCTCGTATTGTTCTGTCATTTATCTTTCTTTTTCTACAGCAGTACTCCTGAAATTTTCCCCAGGCACAAAAAGCCCGGCGTTTTCATGTCAGTTTAGACTTACCAATCCATTCTCCGCGAATACCCGGGTAAAACACGACGTACGTACGTGTGTTGAAGGTCCTCCATCGAGGCATAGACTACACATATAGAGTGGCCTCTTTAGTTCCTACCGTCGAAGAGCAAAATATGGTGGCGAGGCTCATTCTTGCTAGCTAACGGAAATATGTAGAGCAGGAACAACTATCTATCTCAACCCACGGGTACTGCGCACAGCGTCGCTGAACAACTGGGCCAAGAGAACCTAAGGTTACAGTAGGTGTCCCCATACAATAACTCAGCAGTTTGGAACTTGAGCCTCGAACAATCCTACATCTATGAACGAACTTGGTCGTAAGAACAGGTGCTCTACAACGGCGTGCGAGGTGAACAAGAACCCGCCCTTATGGTGTGCGAATGCGCATGCATAGAGAAGGGAACGGTCCCCCAAAACGCGGCGGCTGCAAGATAAAATTCAGGAAGGTTGGGAGTGACCCAAACAGCAGATAGCTTCAGATTCGAGGCGGGGGTGGGGAGAGGATCTCGTGATAAAACGCTCGTACGCGCGGAGGGGGAGGGTGTACTCTGTCTCGTGTTTCGCATGCCTTAGCGGTTAGACCGTTGACTGTAGTGGTATGTACGCGTGATGAAGTCTGGTTGACCTGTGAAGAAGAACTCACTTGTTATTACTCTTGCAGAACAGCAGCAGCAGTAGCTGTTGCCTTGGTTTCGGTAGGGAATAACACCAAGGGGCGCAGGATCCTCAGTACAAGCAGGGGCTACTAGATCCTGTCCCCTGTTTTATCCTTCCGCGGGGAGTTACATCTCTCCGCGCCTTCTAGAAGGAACCGTTCTCTTCTATGTTCCGTCTACACATCTGAATCCTATTACACTAGCCCACCCTGGAGGTTCTCATACGCAGATACTGTAAAACCTCGGGGCTTGGCAAGCAATTGTCGAGTCCGTAAATGACAGTATCGAGGACGTGGCTCTAAAACAGCACAATTCACCCTCCCACACCTCTCACTCGATGGGTCGCAAGACCATCGTTTGACTCCTAAATGACAAAAGACACCGGAAGAAACTGACGGGGGTAAGAAAAGCCTACGACGAGAGGAAAAAGGTCGAAACCGGAGAAAGAAAAACACGAAGAAAAATGAAGAAAAACAGAAAAGAAAAACGAAGGTCGTCAGAACGACCAAAAAGGAAGAATCACCGTCGGAACGACAAAATACCGGTATCAAAAAAAAAAAAACGATAGGCGATAAGATACGCCACGCACGTAGCCACCAGGGCAGCGTAGAAGCAGCTACTACAGGCTCGAAACACCTACAGGTCCTGACCAAAAGCTAAAGGCACTAACGAAAGCGAGAAGAAAGCGGAAACCAGCCAAGGCTAAAAGCAAGCCAAACAATGCAGGAAGCAATCCAAACAACGCTGAAAGGAAACCCAACAAGGCGAAAGGCAACAGAAGGCTCAAACAACCAAGCATGTCGTCTTAACGGGGGCGCGCAACCTGATCGGGCAACGAATCAGTCCCAACGTCCCCACACCACATGTCGATGTTGCCAAGGATTCCCTTAAGAAGGGCGCTGCCGCTGTGAACTTGGAGGCACCAGGATCCGGAGACGGCGGTTTCGGCGGTGGAGTAGCGAAAACCAGGAAGGGCGAGCTTGACAGGTCCAGGATAGTCCAAGAAGCGGACGACGTAGAAGTCGGACTGTAGAAGCGGTCCAGTTATCTTGCCCAACCACCAAAGTCCATCGCGCGCTTTGTACTAGAAGAAGGCGCCTGCAGGGAGCGGAATATTGGTGGGGCTACGGTCCCATGTTGAACGAGAGACGAGCGAATAGCCCGAAGGCAAGGCTCGCTCTCCTTGAACGCGCGCCATCTCGCGGGTGGCCGCACCAATACGCATCGCCCGATAGCGGCGATTCGATAGCGGTGTTGATCCGGCGAACCCGTCCAGTACCGAAGAATGTGTGTCTTTGAATGCTGGAAGTCCATCTCTCGTTCCCAAGAAGGACGAAGAAGACTATTCCAATGCGTTTGGTATAAAACAGCGATGGTGCCACCACGACCACAAACAGACTGATGTCCACTAATGCGGTCAACCTCGAGACGTTCGACCGGAGTCGAAACGTCGTCTTCCGTAACATGGTAGGGAGGAGATCTATTCGCATAGGAATTCAGTACATAAAGTGTAACGCCGGCAGGCAGGAATTGAGGCAAGTCTTCAGTGTCATGCGGATTAGCGCAGGGCTTGCAACGCGCAACCGATACACGATTTTTCGAGTCCGAACCCGGTAAATCCGATCGAACTCCACAAAAAGCAACTTGGAAGCCAAAGGACAACCGTCGGGTCGGGAGCGTCAATACACGGACCCACAGCCAAGATCTTGAATGGACCAGTCCAGAGGAAAGACAACTTTGCCTTGAGAACCTTGTCATCCGTGCCGGAACGAACACCTTGGCGAATGGTAGATTCGGTGTTGTACACCCAAACCCATCCACCGACGGTGTAGGAAGGAACCTTGCGCAAAGCATCCGATAGAGCGGAGTTACGCCGTTCGATCCGCGAAACGGACAGGTTGTGCTGTTCACGAACTAAATCGTAAGAACGACGTTGGCAATCAGCAGCAAGATAGCAATACTCGAGTTGGTCGCGATGCAAGCTTCGGTGGCCTCGAGCATATGGATGCTCAAAAACCGTCATCGGCATGCGCGGCAGCCGGTTGATATGCACTTCGTTGGGTGCCAAACCAGTAGCGGCACTAACCGAATTGTTGTAGGCGAACTCAACGTGCGGCAAATGGATGTCCCAATCATCTTGCCTCTCATTGACGACCATAGCCAACATCTGAGCCATAGTGTGGTTGACTCGCTCCACACCCCCATTTCCATTGGGATGGTAAGAGCTAGTAGCCACTTTGCGAATAGCCAGACGGGCGTACACAGCCTGCGACAGTTTAGAGCAAAACTGAGAGCCATTATCGGACAAGAGACTCAAAGGGCAACCCCACAAAGGGATATACTGATTGACAAGTACATCAGCGGTGCCTTCGGCGGTGAATTCTGCAGCCGTAACCGCGTACATATCAGCACGGCGGCTGAAACGATCAGTGAAGAGCAGAATATATGTGTTTCCGCGCGGGGTCAACGGGAGGGGGCCGAAGTAATCGACGCTCACCGACACACCAGGGCCCGAAGGCAGCGGAAGGCACAGAGTAGGCCATCGAGGCGTCTGACGAGATGATTTGCGGGCTTGGCATCGCAAACAATGCCGTACCCACCATTTCGTGCAAACATTCATGCCAACCCACCAATAGAAACGTTCCAGCATGCTAAGCGTGCGAGCTGCACCGAGGTGGCAGGAGGCATCAGCGTGACAGGCTTGCATGATCCACGGACGCATGAGCATGGGAACATAAATCCGAATGGGTTTATCGTTGAGAAGGCGAGCAGCACGCCCACCAGGACGTGCGGTCGTAGACCACGGGGGTGCTGTGTACTTGCGAACAAGCAAGACCAACCCATCATCGTCAACATGTAACCGTCCTTTCTTAGATAGGTCACGGGTCTCCGACAGAGAAGGTAGACGAGCGGACGGAAGATGATCCAGGAAATCCGAAGGGAGGGCCGAAGGCCGACCCAGAAGGATGAAACGAATAGCTGCATCACAAACAGGTTCGTTACGTTGCTCGCGAGCCCAATCAGCATGCGAGAAACGTTGGACAGACGCCCGCAAGCCTAAATCTGCCGAAGAATGTAAAGCCGCCTCGATAGAAGAGGGAGCCGATTCATGAGGCTCCGATTGCAATCCACCCGAAGGCAGAGCAGCACCGGAAACCGAAGACAAAGGCGTACGAGTGGTTGAGACCGAACTCGTCGGAGATTCCGAAGAATCGGGGACAGCAGGGGACTGCTGGGTAGGGACAACCGAAGTTGCGGGATGTGTCGAAGATGCTAGACCCCTTCCACGAGCCAGGGGCGTAGGAGGGTCCGGGATCGAACCATCAGCACCAGGAGTCGAAACCAACCTGGGCAACACGGGGGGCGTAGTCGATGCGGAAAACGCGGGCGGAGAACGTCGAAACGATCGAGGCGAAGCGGAAATTCGAGTGGGAGCAAGTGGGTCCTCAGAGAAGCCATAATCCACAGACGGGAGGGGCGTGCCCGCCACAACCGCCGTACGACGACGAGTTCGCGTGGAAATCACTTGAGCAGGGTCGAGAGTCCTTCGTGATGTGGCGGTCGGCGAGACGACCGGCGGAGACTCGGGTGCGAGAGCCATAACATCCTCCACCGAAGAGTGCAGAGAGCCAGACCAAACTAGGGCCCGCTTACGCAGTCGTGGAGGAGGCAACGCGCGGAGCTTCTTGGACGGCCAGGGTGCGATGTTCCAGATGCCAGGTGAAAACGAAAGGCCTGACGGCGAGAGACGTGGACCATGCCGACGGAAGTCGATGAAATCATCTGTAATGGGGGCCAGCCCACCCAAGACCGAAGTCGGGGAAGTGGGGACGAGCCCACCCAAGCCAACACCCACGGCGCGATGGCCGGAAGGCATAAGGCCACAAGAACGGATGAAGAATACGCCCTCATCATCGTCATCCGGTGTCAGTTGACTGCGGCCAGATCGGTCACATTCCGCCTCATCGATCGGAAGGCGAGAGAGGAAATCAGCGTTGCAATTTGCTGAACCCTTGCGGTACTTGAGAGTGTAATTGTAAGCGGTAAGAAATTCGAGCCAACGCTGAACGCGGGCATTGTTCTCCCTCACCTTGGCAAAATGCTCAAGAGACTTGCGGTCGGTAAAAATGCGAAATTTTGTACCCCACAGATAACCGCGAAGTCGTTTGATGGACCACACGATGCTACCCGCCTCGAGGTTGAGGGGAGTCCAATGACACACGGAGTCCAAAGTAGCTCGGCTGATGAAGATGATTGGTAGGATGGAGCCGTCCGGCTGTTCTTGTTAGAGAGTCCCACCGAATCCATCGCGACTAGCATCACAGTAGAGACGAAAAGGTCGCGAGTCGTCCGAAACGGCATCCCAATCCGGATAAACCAAGACAGGAGGGTTGGCCAATTCAGACAGCAGGACGCAACCAGCTTGCGCCATGGCAGGGGTGAAGACGAACGTCGCCTGCTTCTTGAGAAGAGTGGTCAGAGGCCGAATGCGCGTAGCCATGTTGGGAATGAACTTGTGATAGTAGCTAAGGCCGCCGAGAAGAGAGCGAAGTTGTTTAACATCCTTGGGCATGGGCATTTGGTGAGGGCCGCAACCTTGGCCCCGTTAGGCCGAACACCGTCGGGAGAGATGGTGTGGCCGAGGAAGTCCGCTTCTGTAGCGGCAATGGTGGCCTTCGGTGGGGTGAGTCTCAAGTTGTGTGTGCGCAAACGTTCAAACAGAGCGCGCATGGTATCAACATGAGACGCAGGGTTGTCGAAAACGATCAAATCATCCAAATACGATGCAACACCGTGGAGATCTTTGATGACTTCGTTGACAACCTTTCAAAACCACCCAGGAGCAGCAGAACTGCCTTGAGGCATCTTTAACCATTCAAAAAGTCCGGAAGACGTCACGAATGTCGTCAAAGGGATTGTTTTACGGTGAACCGTGATTTGGTGGAACGAAGACTTCCTGTCAAAAGGGGAATAAATTCGCCCTTTCAACAACTTGTCCAACGTATCATCAACTCGAGGAATCGGAAGCTGGCTCAAAGCACAAAGCTTATTGAGCTTTCGATAATTGACAGTGATGCGAACACCACCAGATTTCTTCGGTATGACCACCAAAGGACTCGAGTAGGGCGAGGTCGAATGTTGGATCAGACCAGCCGCAAGATATTGATCAAGGATCGCGTCAACTTGTTTCGCAACCGGGGGGTTAACGCGGTATGGACGAGACGTGACGGGTGCACTGCCAGGAGGAACTGTAAGCTTGAAGGAAAAAGCGAACAGGATCCAAAGTCGGTTGGGGAACTCGAGAATACATCATGATATTCGCACAGGACTTTACCAAGCTGAGTGATGACATCTGGAGTCCAACCCGGACCATGGAGATCGAAAGAAATCTCACGGAGGTGGCAGGGGAGCTTATCCCACACGCGGGAAAAACTCTGACGTTGTTCGGACGTCAATCGCTCAAGGAGAGCAGGCGGGGGCGACGAGAGAGAAGTACTGGCAGAACCAGGGTCTTCGTGGCCGGTTTGCGACGGCGTGGGTCGCTCATGCAAATTATACACAAAGGGGTCATCAGTGCGATGCTTGGCAGACGAATCAATGCCACCTGTCGAAACAGGACCCGGAACCCAGTTGCCCGAAGCAGCGGTGGGATCTTGAGCCGCAGATTGAAGACCATCGCTCAAACTGTGGCGAGACACAGCACTGAGAGGCACGCGAAGCAGGGGAGCCGAAGCTGTACCCAATATGTCGCCTGGTTCGAGAGAAGAGATACCCGCGAGCGGGAGTCGTTGGCGACCATTTTGCACAAAATGTTCCTCGGAAGAAAACATAGCACATTGTGGAAGCATGTCCACGAGATAGTTACCTACGAGGGCTGGAGAGCCATCGCTGCGCACCAAATTAACCGGAACAAGGCCATGTTCGGGGTGAAGTTGGACGGAATGTTCCCCAGCATAGCGAAGTTGGTAGTCCCCATCTGTGGAAGGCAAATCGTGCGCAAATGCGGTGGCACCGCAACTGCCATGCTAAGCCAGGGTAAGCTCACCAAAAACACGGTCACCAGGGCATTTCGTAGGCTAAGTGCGGTAAGAGCGGTCGCTAAACAGCATCCAACTGTCCCGCCCGAGGAGCACGTCATGATGCATAACACCATCAGGAACAACGTACGCCCAAACAGCGAGAGAGGATGTAGGAACGCGCTTGCGAAGAAACTGCACGCTCAAACGGACAATAGTCGAAGTTTGAAGCGGAGCAGATTTGCCGAAACCACCCCAACACCGAGGTTGGGTTTGTTTCTCAGACAACGACGAAGCGGCCGAAGCGGCTTTCATGGATTCCCACGCAGATGCACTAATAAAAGACTGCGGGGAACCCGTTTCCACAAGTGCAACACATCCAAACTGAACAAAAGCCGAACTACTGTGAGTGAGGATTTGTGTGGTGAAAGCGTCATCATCGATGGTAACAATACCACCAACCAAATCCGGACCTTGCTCAGGAAGCAAGGAAGAGGAAGAGGATGGTGAGGTGCGCCAGGAAGACACGGCCCAAACAGCGGTGTCATGATCCGTCGGAACATTCGGAGCGTATTGCGAAAATGACGCGAATCGTGCAGTCGATGGAGGGCGTGAGGCCGTCCGGAGACGCTGGTGTGTGGAAGGACTAACTTCATCGACCGCGTCATGTTGAGATGGCGTCGAAACGTGATCACTGGGAGACAGCAAACGAGAGCTGCGCTCGGGCGGCGGGGCATTGCATCGCAAAAGACTGCGTACTAGTTGAAGGGCGTTGCCTAACAAATTGAGACCGCGCCACCGAGAGGTGTATTGGGCCTCAGGATCATCGGCTTGAAGGCCAATGCCCCAAATACAGTCGTAGGGACTGGCTTCGGCAAGGATTTTGTCGCCAGATCCGAGAAGATGATCGCGCAACTCGGAGTTTTGACTAAATTTTGCGTAAGAGCCAGTGAGCACAGTATTTTCGCGCTCGTGTTCCCACAGGGATGGGTCGAAGCCACGGACACCGCGACCAAACTTCTTGTGTAAGGCAGGCTCGGACACTCGCATGATGTTCTGCAAAGCGCTATGGTCTTCGACAAGACGAGCTTTTGTCGCAGCGAAAAACCGCTCAGCACACGAGTATACCACTCCATCGAACACAAAAGTCGACGGTGTCCACTGTGAAAAGGGAGATGGGGACTGCCAAAAGAAGACCATGTCAGGAGTTTAATACTCGTTAGACGGGTCGAAGACAGCGGGGACTGCAGGAGCCGAAACACCTGGAGTATGTTCAGCCGAAGCTG